AAAAAAAAAAAAAAAAAAAGACCAGAAAGATGCATCTCAGAACAAAATCAAATGGTCTTTTCTTAAATCATCAAAAAAGTATAGAAACAGTAAATGACTTGAAGCTTTCTGATAAAAAAAGCAATTAGAAGTGATAACGTTTTGTGATAATTTTTAAGAAATTGTTCAATAGGTAAAAAAACAATTATAATTCCTGTAGTAGACAGGAAAGTTAAAAGCCTACTTCCTCATCTCGCATCTCAGCCATTATAAAGGCAAGGTAGCAACAGAACTCTGGATGGCCATTCAACTGATTAAGCCTCTAAATTTTTCAAAACGGATTCATTATAAGTGAATTTTAATTTGAAAAAAAGAGAAATATCATGAATCTAAAATCATATCAGTCATACTACTTAATTAATGAAAAACTAATCCAAAATTAAGCAATGAAACATACCTCCTGGACATTTTTTTGAGTCTGCGTATCAGGCGACTGAGAAAGCCGAAGAAGTTCTACTACCTTAAAAACAACCTCAAAACGAAATAAGAAGAGAACAGAGCAAGTACGAGGAAAACACATTATTTTTAAATATAAAGGGAAACTCAACTTCTGCGAGATAAAAACTGCAACAAAATTGAAAAACATTTAGAGAACTAGTTATCTGACAGCCAATAAAAAGCGAACCTGTTGTAACTCCTCTGGAACAGGCCTCCATTCTCCAGGTTCTCCAGTCATTTCCTCAAAAACATACCACAAGCGTTCAGATTTACTGAAAGCACTAATGGGTAATACTATATAGACAATATAAATAACAACTTAAAGAAAGAACGTCAAGAACTGGAATGTTGCAACAACGCCATCCGTATCTACTACTGGAAAAAACAGTAATGGTATTGCTGACCATAGTAACAGCGTAATTAAAGACTGATAAACATTTGGAAAAAAAGCAGTAAACAGAAGGATCAAAAAGCTTTTTTAATTCATCACGACCATATACTTACTAAAAACGTCAACATCTGCAGCTAAAACATTTGAAGAACAAACAGAAAGCCAAAAATCAGGTCAATATAACTTACATATTCTAACAAATTCAAAAAACTTATACGTAAAAGACAGAGTTAAATCATTAAAAAAAAAAACTACCGATGAAACAAGAGCAGTTAAAAACACCTAACTCATCCCAATGACTTCTGCTACCCTTTTATTTATTTCAATGCTCCTGTACAAAAAAAAAGTGCTAACACACATACCATGAGGGACATTCGGAAAAACCTGCCTGTAAACACTGTATATTTCAGTATTTTAAATATAGGTAATAACTGCCGAGTATTTACCGATATATAGACAGTGAAGTTTCTGCAGTTCAAGGAGTAAAACAAAACTTTCATCGAAATACTAGTTTAAAATTTTACTTAAAAGTTCCATCAACTATAAGCTCTTGTCTTACCCAAAAATACAGATATTTGTAACAGAATCAGTAGCTAAGAGAGTCATCGGATACTTCCAGATTTTAGAAAAGATCAGGCTTCCTGGTTTATATCCATACTTCTAAGGGCCATTATTTGACATCTAAACAAAACAAAAATGTAAAAATTTTTGTAAGAATTCAACGTTCAAGGCAAAGTTCTACTAGATACTCAACATATTAATAAGAATTCAGAAATACATTGAAAAATAAAAAAAAAAAACGACCAATATAATTTAGTAAAAGTCGTTTAACATTCAGCAAATTTCCTGTGTGCAACTGAAGCGACGAACTTTATGCACATTTAGCCAACTTTGTAGTTTATCATTTTGCAGTGGATAAATGATTTGGATATTAAAATGATTTCAGAGTCTATCCAAATCAAACATATTTCTCTTTTATAAAAAAGCCACATTTTCATGTTGCCAGAAGGAAAATATTAATAAATAAATAACCGACCGCTATAGACGGTTTAAACTTCCTTTGTTCTTATTCTGTACATTTAATCAACAATTTTAGTATGAACAACTACAATTGTCCAAAAGTTGTCTAAAGCCGATTTAACAAACTGTTAAAAATGTAAAATAAACAAAAGAAAGGAAAGGCGAGAACAGCAATAAAAGAAAAAACAAAAGAGAATAAAAATCAAAAAAATTCAAATAACATCTATTGAAGTTTTGACGGAGTAACATCTAAAACAACCATTTTTTTGTACGAGTAATCAAGGGTGGAAAGAAGATAATGGAACAGTAAGAGCAAAATAAATAAACAAGTAATAGTAATTATTATAGCAAAGTAGCAAAAAAAAAAAAAAGAACCGATAAAAAGAAGCAGTAAAAAAGCAAAAAATATTGCAAATATGGGTTGCATTACATAAAACAGCCAAAAAAATTTGAAGCGTAAACAGAAAAACAAAGCAAACCAAACCAAACTAAACTAAACTAAACTAAACTAAACTTAACTGAACAAAACTGAACTAAACTAAAACTAAACCAAATCA